CATTCCTGCAGCCCTGGTGGGGTCTATAATGCACAGGACAATGGTGGCCTCATTTCTGCAGGACAAAGACAAGAACAACGGGACGTTTTCTGGCTCGGACAATGAGGTTTTTGTCCTGCTATGGGCTCTGTAATGATACTTCAGATCCTTTCTCACCCAGCAGCCAGGATCACACTGTGCTGTTTTACTCAAAACGAAGTTGCTCTTCTGCAAAGAATTGGCCATTGGAGAAACTGGAAAAAGATGAACCCACCGGGCGTGGTGGCTCCATGCCTTCCATGCTACCTGCCCCACATGGCTGCTAGGCACATTCAAGGCAAGACCCTCAGAGGTTCCCAGCGGGACCAAGAAGAGCTTTTAAACCCCCAAACAGTCCTTTCCATTCCCTTTTTCTGTCCTTGCTGCTGTTCTGTTTACAAGTTAAGACAGCTAACAGTGCTCATGTCTGTACAGGGGCTTTGAGCCTTTCCAGCCCACCACCACAATCACATGGATCCTGCACGTGATGGTTGATTTGGGACATCACATTATTTCCCATTGCAGCTGAATGCGATGATTAAGTACTGAGGGTGTGGTATAGTACCAAGGGGAAGCTTTGAAGGGAAAACAGCCTGATACACAGACTCACAACCCAAGGGCAGCACATCCCCCTGAGCCAGCAAGCCTACGAGCTCTGCAGGAGCCACCCCAAATTCACAGGCAGCAAATGCCCGTGTCCCCTCTCTGAAGGCATGGAGGAGGGCAGGGCGCCTGGGATGGGCGTTCACGTTTGGAGGATCGGGATGGGCAGGACTTGGCCCATCATTGCCACCCCAGGTCCAGCCTTGCAGCACTGGGAGTTCCCATATGAGCCTGAAATCCCCTATAGTTCACTATTAGTCACTGAAATGGGCTCTCTGGGTTTTGCCTGACAGCAGTGCATTAAGCATGTATGTGCTCACGTGCTCATCAACCTGCAGTAATGGGTCTTACTCCCTAAAACCCCTGCTCTCAGCTGAGCGTTCATAGGAGAAGCAGGATCCAGGGTCCTGAGCAGCTGGAACAGCCCAAGTGCCCGGAGCAGGGTGCAGGCAGGATGCTGGCACCTGGCTGCTGCCCAGCGCTGGCCAGTGAGCCCAGGGTTGGTGTGTCACCTTCCCCCGGGGCCAGTCCCCGGTGTCACCCACAGTGAGCCTCGTCCTCCTGCCCTCGCCAGCGCTCCCTCGTTTGCTGCACTCACACCCTGAGAGCTGGGCGAGGAACAGCCACCGGCGGTGGGGACAGGCAGCAGGGACCCCTTCATCCCCAAGCAGGGACGCTCCTCCCCTGCTGTGACACCTTGCTGACGAAGACAACCCAAAGCGGGGTCTTGTTTCAGGGTGCTAAAGGCAGAAGGCAGCCTGGCGCCTGCCCTCACCGCGCTGCAGAGCATTTCTTTTAGCACCTTGGGAAGGTGGCTAACACTGATATCAGTTCTGATAGCACAATCACACTGTATTGCTTATAAACTTGCTCCTCCCCAGAGAGTCCTGTGACTTGCAACTAATACAGCATTGCCACGTCCAGTGACCGTGCAAGCGTGGGCTGTACCTTGGAGACGAGGCTGGCTCGGTACGCTGCCAGGGCTTTCAGGTACTCCTTCTTCGCGGCTTCTGTTTTCCTCTTGTATGCCTGAAAGGACCAAGCAGTGGATAATAAATAATAAAGCAGAATAGGGTGCTGCTGGGCTCAGCTGCACCCTGCAAAAACGTGTGCATGAAAAACTTATTTCTGCTGGAGAGGAATTTACCCCAAATCAAGCAAATAAAACCCCTGGATTGGACCACATTGGGATTTTTGAAGGCATCACAGGCCAGAGCGGTCTGCATGCCTGGGCAGATATTTATGCACGTCTGCTGTAAGACACATAGCCGGATTTTATAGGCTGAACTCAATAAAATCACTTCCCGACAGGATCACAGGAGAGTGTGATCCAGGCTCTTGGAAGAGCAAGACGAGCCAAAATCCCCAAATGACTGGATTAGCTTAAAAAATGGTGAGACATTCAGAAATCCTAAACTACTCATTCGCTTTCTTGGCTTCCCCACTATTAAGCCTTTAGAGCTCAACACTGTCCAGCTCTTCTCCGCAATCCAGACAGCTGGGAAGTCCTCTCTCAGCATATAAAAGCTGAGATTTTTGCCTGATCTTATGACTCTGGGAGCTGGGGCTTGCAGGGAAACAGGAGAGTTTGCTACCCCAGGAAAAAAAAATAATAAAGCTTTGTAAGAGTGAATTATTGTTTATTCTTCCTTCTCCCCCCTGTAACAAGACACATTTCATGATCATTTCGCAGTACTGGTCCCCTTTCTGCCCAGAGTTTGGTCCTCCACATATGTAAAAATAATGGTGTAATCCAGCCTGTCTCAAGCAGCATGAGTCCCCATGGAGTTAAATAGATTAAACTGAGCAAGCGAGAAGAATATTTTAAAATGGAATAAAAATTTCAGCAAAAAGGTAGAAAATCCCAAGAAAAATACCCATCAGTCCTCTCCTCCGCTGGAAACTCAAAGCCCTCCTCAAGCAGCACAGCAAAAGTTGATTTCAATTAGAACAGACTTGCATACATTTAATTCTGCTTTAAAAACAACGACAGCTTTCAACAATCAAGACGCTGAAGCCTAGTGGGAATATTTAGTTCCTTTCCCCTGCAAATTTCCATGGCCACGGCAGCACCCCGGACTCCCTTCTAACACTGACCTCCGAAGGGAAAATAACCTTCTAGCAGTTAAACTACCCAGTTATTTGACTTTCAGTTTAAAATCAGTACAGATAAATTCTATTAAAAATGGTTTGAAAACCTTATTTTCATTGCTAAATCAAAGAGATTCCTGTAATGAAACGTTTTGACTTGATGCACTGGAGGTCTCAGACGGTAATTTTCTGAAATGGAGCGTTTACCTAAGTTTGTCTTTGGCTTTATGGTATTCAGGAATTATTATATTTGCTCCATTCAGAACAAAATTACATTTCAAAATGTCAGCCTGAAGAAGAGTTTGCCCGTGAAAAGCAACTATTTCTTCAAACTGTATCAGTTCCCCTAATAAAAGCTATTACCGTTCTCTACAATCCTCACCTCACTTAATGTCCGTAGCCCATCGCAGTGACACCAGTGCTACCGCTACAGCATTTACTGTAAAGCAGAAATGTGGGGTGCTCACCAGATCTGCTGCTAACGGATGCTCTTAAATGTGGTACCTGATGCCTACACAGCAATGAAATACAGATTCCTGTGTCTGAGGCTGGTGTAACAGCGGCCATAGCTGGGTGCTGATGTATTGAAAACATATATTTTTTTTTTCTCCTCTGTAACAGCAAAATACCAAGAGCGTTTTTGCTTTTTTTAAAATCTGGGACAGTGGGAAATCAAAGTATGCACAGCTACGTGAAGACGAATTCAATTATTAGGAAGACTCATCTGGAGAAAAACCTGCAATTTATGGACAGTGAGAGGGCAGGTAAATGAGACTTCCTCAACCTAAATGCAAATAAATGAATAACCAATACATTCTGTGCCTATCTTCATCTCCATCACTTGTTTTCTCTGCTACACCCTTTTTTTTCCACTCTTCACCCGTCCTTGTCTTTTTTAGACAGTGCTGTGCCTCTCGTATTTGGAAAGCGCTGCTGGGTGGTGTCTGATGCAGCAAGAGTGGGAAGGGGCAGCGGAGCAGCACGTTCTCCTGAAGGGAGAGGGGGATTGCTCCGAGGGGGAGCCTCTGTGCTGCTCGGGCCAGCCCCTGCGCCAGCCCTGGCCACGAGCAGGGCTACAGAGAAGGGCAAGAGGGCGAGCCCAGGCGGTGTTTCCTCTGATGCTCCTCTGATGCTCTCTCCAGCTCTGCAAGGGTCCTGGTGGATTACCTGGTTTGTGACCATAGAATCACAGAGTGGTTTAGGTTGGAAGGGACCTTCAAAGATCATCCAGTCCAACGCCCCTGCCATGGGCAGGGACATCTTGCCTGGAGCAGAGAAGGCTGCGGGGAGACCTTATTGCGCCCTTACTACACAAAGGGGGCTCATAAAAAAGAGGGGGACAGACTTTTTAGAGCTACTTAAAGGGGGCTTATAAGAAAGATGGGGACAGACTTTTTAGCAGGAGCAATAGCAATAGGACAAGGGGTAATGGTTTTAAACTAAAAGAGGGTAGATTCAGACTAGAGATAAGGAAGAAATTTTTTACAATGAGGGTGGTGAAACACTGGAACGGGTTGCCCAAAGAGGTGGTAGATGCCCCATCCTTGGAAACATTCAAGGCCAGGCTGGATGGGGCTCTGAGCAACCTGATCTGGTTGTAGATGTCCCTGTTAATTGCAGGGGGATGGACTAGATGACCTTTAAAGGTCCCTTCCATCCCAAAGCATTCTATGATTCTATGATATTCCTCCGCTAGATCAGGTTGCTCAAAGCCCTGTCCAACCTCATCTTGAACACTTCCAATGATGCGGCATCCACAGCTTCTCTGGGCAACCTGTTCCAGTATCTCAACACCCTCATTGTAAAAAAACATCCCTAAGGGTCTCCTGCTGGGACTTTTGCAGTGCTGCCCTGCTCACGGGGGGCTTTCTGCACCCACACAGTGCTCCATCAAGGACACTGAGCAGCGACACCGCAGCCTGCCACTGGGGAAATGCCATGCTGATGTGGGGAGAGCGGATCCAAACAAAACTTCTCATGAATCCTCTGTGTAAAGGCAGCTCTAGTGCAGTATTTACAACCTTTAAAATTCTAATTTAAACATTGACAAAATCATGTTACTTTCTAATTAAATCCCATTTTCTCCCAGGGATTTTAATTTCAAAGTGATTTATCAGATTTAAAGATCCTCAAAACATTTTGCATGTTTTTTTCTAACCTGCCATGCCCGCTGATTTATTTTCCTTATTCATTAGCAGGAGGATTCATTAGTCATTAAGCGAGTGGGTGGGTTGGGGAGGGAGCAAAAATGGTTAGTGATTATGAAAACAAAAAATCAGAGCTGTAAGAAGCATATGTTGGGATCGTAATCCTGACACCTCTGTGTCTCAGCAAAGCAGCTAGTAATTGTACCGTAATGAAATGTTCTTGTTTGATAACCAGTTAATTAGAGAAGACAATTATTCCAAACCCCGCTGACGCCCACGAATGGCTCCGTGTCGCGCAGGCACTGAATGACAGCCGGAGCTGTTATCGGTAACCTCTGCATCCCGGCCCGCCTGCTTTAGCAGAAACGCTGCTTCCCAAGCCTGGGGAAGGATGAAAAGAACCCACACTCTCCCCAAAAAATCAAGGGGTCCACTGATCCCAAGTGAAAAGGTCTCTGCTGCAATCCTAGATGGAGTTTGGGGCATTTTGCTTCAAAAAAGAGATAGACCATCAGGAGAGAAGAGATGAAAAGTGCAGTAAAGGTCTGCAGATTATTTACCTAGGAGAGAAGACCAAGAGGAGCCACAGCCTCCAAATGCGATGCAGCAAAAAAGGAGGCAATGAATGATTCTCTGCATCTACTGCGGATAGGCAATAGGCTTGAATTGCAACAAGGGAAATGTTGGCTAAGTGAGAGGAAAGCATTCCTAACAGTAAGGATAATTAAGCACTGGAAGAGATTGCCTGGGGAGATGTGTAATCTCCACCACTGAAGGTTTAAGAACAGATTAGGCACACATCCATCAAGAATGGCTTAAGTAGAGATGATCCTGACTTCAGGCAGCAGTATGGTCTGGTTGACCTCTTAAGTCTCTCCTTGCCCTCCTTTCTATGATTCCATGACTGGAGTTTTTTCCCCACCCAAACATATAAATTCGGATTTTATTCTGCTTGTAAATCTGGAGGGTTTTTCTTGTAACTATTATACACTTTCCTTCAAGATATCTCTTGGGATCATCACAAATAATGGCTTATTCATAAGATGACTGGAAAGTACCTCCTCCCTGCACAGTGGTGTCTGCCACACCACCCTTCTCTTTGCCTACAGCCTCCACATGGCCACTGGAAATGCACAGAGCAAACACGGCCACGTCATCCTTATTCCCTCCCAGCTCTTCCTCACCTCCTTGCATGCTCCTCTGTATCCCTCCTGCTCCCTTCTTGGGGAAGGCTTAATCTGTCCCTTCCACCATTAAAACCAACTAGCGCAAGCTATGTTTACTGTGTAAATCTCAGCACACATCCTTCGGTCTAATGGCTATAGTCTGGATTGCTAAGTCCTGAGGCCAACAAGCCAGGGAGGCACCCGTCAATGATGCCCATCACAAGGTTGCTGGTTAAGTGGTGCTCCGATTTCCCCAGCCTCTCCCAGCTATGGCATGGGAGCTGCTGCACAACTGATGTCCCTGAGGACACCTACACGGAAGGCTCTGGCTAAAGGAAGGCTCTGGTTTCAGGAGAGCTCCTCCTTTATCCTGGTGGAGATACAGCGTTGTGAAGCAGTCCTTTGGAGAATGAATGGATAAACCCATAATCAAGTAGCAATTACCATTTATTAAAGTGTTCTGAAAGAGTCATGCTGTCCTCTGCCTTGACTTCATTGTTCCACCTGGGTGTAAGTCATCTGTTGCTCCATGTGAGGACACATGTGTATGCCCAGGACAACGCACAGAAGACTCCAAAATGAAGTAAAGGAGGAGGGTGACAAATCCAACCCCTAACCTCCATGG